CAGACAGACAGACAGACAGACAGACAGACAGACAGACAGACAGACAGACAGACAGACAGACAGACAGACGGACAGACAGACTAAGCGCTTTATAGTAAGTAGGATATTACCACAAATCCAATCTAAGAAGAAGCTGAAAAAATAAAAAAAAAACAAGCATACCCACCAATGTACAAACACTGGAAGATGAAAATTAAAAAAACTGAAACTCTACAGAAGCGAGAAGCTGGCCGACGATGGAAGGAAAGCAGCAGCTCACCATAACACGCAGTCCTCCATGAGCAATGAAACCCATTCGCCCTGTGAGAGGTCATAGGAACTTGAAGACATTTCAATGGGTGTACCACCACCTAATTTCAATTTAATACCAGTTGGGTTACGGTAGGGTAAGCGTACATCACATGCCCACACCGGCTCATCTACAACCTAAGTCAAGAAGATCGTAGAACATTTTTTATGTCTTGTATACATGACACTGCTCCACAAATAATTCCACGAACATCGAAAACGGGGCTCTGCGATAGAATTAAAGAGTAATATCTGCCTCTATTCTGCCACATTTAATGTGGGACTGTTCGCGGACCAGGCTATGACATTATCATCGCGAATACTCGCTATTCCGATATGGTTCTGCGAGCGAACACAACAACACGACATTGGGATTTAAAAGGCCCGCGAATATAGTGGCTCTACAGAGTATTTCGCAACTCGGTTCCCATAGAACGTATGGCCAGTATTATCCTACACGTCGATGCACTCATCCCGCTGATATAACTTCAACTTACCTCACTTCTAATTACAATTTTCTTTTGTAGTAATACTATGTAATGAAGTTGTTTACCTCAACATTTTCATCATAACCTCATATGCCTTTGTTTATTTTTGTTCTTTGCCTCAGTTATCTGTTAGCAATCTCACTTCTATCTCTACGTTTAACCATATCATCATACATAAGTTCTCTGGATGACTTTTTTTTCTGGCAGTGTCACATAGTTCTGGCATTGTTGACGTATTTATTTTGTATTGATGGTTTAATTACCCAAGTTTGTGTGATATAAAGAAGTTTTGTACTTGGTCCCGATTTGGAATTTGTAAGAATAAATACACAGACAACCGCGTAACAGCAAGATAAGGGCGAATTGTTGCTATTCTAACGCTATTCTGTCGAATTCGTACAACTAGGACAACCCAATTTCTATAACTATAGACGTTTTGTTAGTAAGCGGCCCCAGAGCTTCCTTAAGACCGAGGTCCTTCTTTTGCATCTGCCAGCATGTATGTACTCAATAAACTAAGTGGCCGTACAATTATTAATTATTACATTTATTACATATTATTTATTACTTATTACAATTTTTTCAATGCAATTTGGGCGAACTTTCATGTGAATAGTTCTCTCGGTCTACCTTGTTCAGGTGTAGAACAAGTTAGATTAGCTTCTTATTCATCACCATCGCCTTTAGACGAGTTTGCGAAGTCGGATCGGAGAGATTGTTTGTTGTCTGCCACATCTTATGGTCACATTGTGTGCATAAAGAATGGAATATGCTGTATCGCTTATCAGATTTCCAGTTCATTTTTCTTTTTTCAGCTTCCCTCTAAAGCGGAGTAATTCATTTCAACTGCTAGCTCAATAGAAATGAAGTACTTCACTGCAAAGGGAAGGTGAAAAAAGAAAAATCAACAGCCATCTATGTAGATAGTTGAGCCACAGTCATTCCTTGCCGAATGTTTTTTGGTGGAATAAGATAATTTTCATAACAACAACGAAGCAGGACTCGTTTTATTCACTGGAGCTGAGTAATAGTATCATAAATTCCGAATCACTCATACAAGATGCAATAAAAGCAAACATTTACAATTACTTTTCACTGAACAAGTATACCGGTCAAAGGAGATCATCCAGAAGCTGATCGTTGAGGATGTGCCTTACACACTGTTTACAGAAGATTACTTCCTTACGATCAATTGGGGTCTACTAAACCGAATGAGCATGGAACTCCCACTTTATCAATGAACGCCGAAATAGAGATAGAGAAAATGGGTGTGACATCTTCTCCCCGAAAATCGCGTCGCGCTCGCCGCATCAGCTCGCGTTCGAAAGCTATGAAAGGAATGTTCAAATCTCCAGTGAAAAAATCCGGTAGCCGCCGGGGAACCACTGCCGGCCGCATTTGGTAGGATTTCGGGGAGAAATACAAACACCCGGAAGAAACTGTTGTCATTTCTTCCAAATGGAACAGCATTGCACTTTTGTCAAGGAGGAGGATACTTAATAATGCATAAAGCTTAATATGACCTGTGTGGTCGAATCAGACAACTGTTGACCCTAGAATCTTTCCATTTCTGTCCCTTGGGTGCTAGTCATGTGACGCTAGAGGAAAATGGATAAAAAGCTTATTAGAATTCAACCTCAAACAACGAGAATTTGTACATCAAACACGTGCTTCAACATAGATCCTCCACAGCTCGAGGCTAGAAGGCCATAACCTAGTAGTGAGCTTCTGGAGAAGCGATTGATCAGCACTTTGAACCAATTTATAGTTACTCAAAGGCACAATTCACGATAAAAACGGTTGCTGAAATCTCCCTTAGAATTAGCCTGTGTCCCTTCAAGAGTACAAAAAGAGTGGTAGTTCTATGACGCTGTAGGGTCAAAAAACGGAGCCCCAAAACCGGCTCAGTAGACGCCACACCCAATGGCGGACGAGATCGTGGATGAGTGTAGAGGCTCTAGAAGTTGGACTATTCGGACCGGGACCCTCCCTCAACAACATGCAGTCAGCTGATCGCGGAGGCAATCCTGTTGTATAGCGACAGTAAGGGATGTTTTTGCTTACTCTAGCCAGCTGTACGCAATGGCACACATTGGAAAGTTCGTCCGGACACCCGTTCCGCGCCATTCTTTCGTCCTATTCTCGTCCATCGCAGATCTTTCACACTTTTTCAAAGCCTTTTATTTCTCTGGAAGCGTCTATTCACGTGTTTTCTTTGCCACCATCACACTATTCCCGACCTTCGCTTCAATTAATCATCTCGATCTGGATACTCCAAGGTTATCGTGAACTGTGCCTTTGATAGTCTCCAACTTGATGATAGTCTCCAACTTGATGACACTGGCTAACTGGCTACTGACGGTCGACTGTGGCGACAGCGAATTTTGTATACTTGGATTAATAACTTTTGTTTTTATTAATGAACGGCCTGATGCTCCGACGTTATCTTCTTCTACAGGGGCCGAGGTTCTACCGATCAGGAAGAACCTCGGCCCCTGAAGAAGACGATGACGTCGGAGCATCAGGCCGTTCATTAATAAATTGTTCCACTTAAAAACATCGCACGGCGCAAGTATTTTGTCATTATAAACAACTGTGTCTCTGAACTTGAAGATGGACGAATGAAAAANAAAAAGTAGTGATTGATTCCAAAAAGTGCTGATCAATACGCCGACCCACACAATCCATGAAAAGTCTAAGGAATCTTGTAATCTCACTAGGCCATGCCCTCCTAATTTTTTTAACAGCCTTGGGGTATGGAGGGAACATAAATATACCTATGCACATGAACATCCAACGAAATAACACCAAACGCATAGAATAATTGTGATAATCCAGTTTCCAAACCGATAATGCACTAGTGAGAAGATACTTGTTGAACTTTGTAGTCGAAAGTTTGAGATAAATAATGCCACCAGTATATTAACTGAAACGGATGCTTTACTTTCATCTTTGGTCTCAACTAACGCTAAAATATTTTTTTCCGTCAAAATGTAAAAATTATTGTAACCAATTATTTAGTATCCAGGAAAACCGAGAAAAAGGGATAAAGATGGGATAATGTGGGTGTTAATCAGTCGTTTCAGAGGGATATGCCTTGCACTCGACTTCCATTCAAATCATAGCAAAGTAAGAACGTGTATGTTGCCTTTACAATGACTTGCAGTGGCCAGCCGATGTATCAGCCAGTACTTTTATCCCCCAGACGTTTATACCAATCATCCCACTCCGGAGAGATAGAAGGCCTTGTCGACTCAGCTGATTTCGAACCGGGATTCGAACCCACTACTGTGCGTGTGCGTCCCTTGCCATTACACCACCTAATCCATGACTACTGAGTGGTATTGATGAATATCCAAAAAGAGGTATTCAATAAATGATAAAGAATCCCGATCGATAAAAATCCTCACATTAAAAAACGTAAACGCAAGAGGAAAAGCGACGATAGAAAATTTATCAACTGCTTCAGGATGAAACCTCGCTATGCAGCCGGCATTCGTCGCTGGTGAAGGCGAACGGAACTGAAACATGGCTATTTTCATATAACAGAAGGGACACTACTAAATTCACATGCACATGTTTAAAAGCACTCATAGGGAAACATGGATAGATTAGAAAAAGAGCATGCTTTTTAGCCTGTATGGAAAGCATGGAGAAAATGGAGAAAATCACTAGCAGCGCACACTACACAAAATTTTCAAAATGATGACAGCACTATGAGTAGTTTTCTGAGTATTAGAAGCAAAACCACTGAAGCGTTTGATTGCAAACAAAAAGATCAACACTTGCAAAGGCTTAAACCAGTGCCCCTACTTTTTGGGCACAGTTACAACTAGACACTGCAATTTTTCATGCCATCGCCGGGTTTTTTCCGATTCTCAAAGTTGATTTGTTAAAAACGAAGCACCTTCAATCAAGGTCAACTGCTAAACCTTCTTCAGGTTAGGTTTGAACTTTTGACGTGGTTGTATTGCCTTTTTCGAAGTGAGGGTGAACACCATGGGAAGATTCTGAATGGTAGGTCCGTGATGGTTCTTCCTCAAGCCGTTGGGAAAGAAGCTATCAGGGTAGGGATTGTCTTTTGAGGAAACTAAGTTAAAGTTCGGACGCGTAGAGCAGCTGCAGGGTACGCTATGGTTCCAAACACGGTCAAGGATAAGAATAAATGCGGAGTGTTAGACGGGCTAAGTAGAAAACTTCGAAAAAAGAGTTCGACACCTGCGCGGTGACTAGAGGAGAGCTAGATATACGTGAAAAAAGGTGGTCTTAGGCGTGGATAGAAAAGACCCTGAAACAAAACATCAAGCCAGGGTGCAGGATATTACTTAGTTCCTCGTTCTCTTTGTTTTTTCAAGGCCTAAGTCGGGGAGAGTGCTAACATGCCCATGGCGAGTGACAATGGTGAAGGTAGCAGTTACAGCTGCCTTCGTTCTCCCGAAGGTGGGGGAGCTAAATTTACATGATCCTGATGGGGTCAGTGATGGCGATAATAGTCGCATTATCACCGCTACGTATAACAAAGGTTGTAGCTGCACTTTGCTTGCCACATTTCACTACTATAAACAACAAAGCAACATGGTGAAAAGCATCTGAAAAAATTTTGCATGTGTTTTGTCTTCTCAATCAACAAAATCGGGTTTACAGAAAAAAGCTGCAATTCTCATAGGAGCTGAAGGGAAACTGAGAGCAAGGAAGAGCCAAAGAAAGCCAGCAAAACAAAGATAGATACGATTATAAAGCAGCATTACCTCTTCCATTAACAATAGTCTTTCTGGTTCGCATGGCAACTGTAAACGAGACAAAAATTTGACAGTTCTTAACCGTAACACATTTTGCAGTAGCTTTATACAAAGACAAAGAAAGGATAAACAGTAGGCCTCAAAAGATAAGGCCCTGCATTTGTAAAGCCTACAAGATAATACTATGATCTCAAGCCTTTGACTGCACAGCAGACTACAATACATTCAAAAAGCCGATAGCATTGTGTGATGAGAGCGATAGCCTGATTCTATGACTCCACGGATGAACTGCTGCCCATGAGACTGCATGCCAAGCCCTTGTAGTCTAGATGAGCCAGAATTTTCGGCTCCATCAATGACTTCAATACTTTTGAATCGAACCACTATAGAGTCCCAGTCACACGTGTAGGCCGTAGGCCTTCGAGTGCAATTGATTTGTTTTGTTCTTTTTTGACCAATACGCAGATCGCGCGGGAAATAGTTATACATAGGCCGTCACTACCATTATGCAATCTCTTCGCCGTGATTGCGGTGCTACGCCGCTGTTTTGTAATTTGATTTATTTTTGCTTTTAACTGCGCTGCGCCATTCGTGATGAAGTCTTTTTTGTTTCTGTCACTGTCTTCCATTAGAGGTTCGGCCATAATTACTTCTGGTTACGTATGTCTTTTCTTACACACTAACTGTCAACCAGGTGTGTCAACTTCACCCAGGTTGTTTATTCCTTGCTCTCGGAAGGTTTTAAATTATGGGCATGAAATTGGAGATTAATTTTTTTACTTTCAAACTTTTTTAGGGCCAGCCGCATAGATACCACGAGTTGACCACTTACCGGCCCTTGCTCTTGATGACCATTAGTGCTGGATTGTTGGAGAAAGACATGAATCTACGGAGAAGGTGATTTCAGTGAGGCATACTCCCCTCTTACCCATCCAGAAGGTGGAAATCAATGAGCTACTCAAACGTTACAGGGTGTATGATGTCATAGGTGAAAATGTGGTTGGGAGGGGGGGGGGGGGGGGGGGGGAGGGTAGGCGAGCGGAAGGGAGAGTAGACGGGTCCGTAGTGGTGTTTAGGGACGTTTCATAGCTTTTGTTATGTTATAACTGTGTATTTTCTCCCACTTTTAGGAAGGTAAGGAGCTCTGGGGTGGGTGAGCCATTTGGACGACCAATGTTTATCTCATCTCAGCTTTTTGCACATACAACCATATCTACCCACTCCGGAGCCCCTCCTCTTCTTGAAGTAAGGCGAAAACAATATTCTTTCGGCTAAAAAGCATCTTTATGAACAAGTGAAAACGGCTCCCTTCCTTCTCTGTGCTCTAGCCGTCAGTGATTCGAAAAGGCGCTGCCCTCCCCCCTCCCGAACAACATTTTCACCGATGTCATATACATATAACATTCGGAAATTTTCATGTGAACGATCAATTTCGCTGTATCACTAGAATTTTCTTGTCGTCCCCACCATTCCTTTCATTCATGAATTGGAGAGTCTTTTGGGAAAAACAGTCAAATCAGACAGTCACAAAGATTCATCTTGTATTCACTTTCTCTGAGCTCAATTTTTTCTAGGCTCGGTTTTTACTATACAGTTTGGATTTTTGATACGAATTCCTTTTATCAGGCTCCAACAGGATGGGACTGTTTACATGTTTCCTAAGAAATGCCCTACCTGCTCAAATGTGAGGGGCTGCTCTGAGTCAAATGTCGTAACATGATGACGTGCATTTGTGCAAGGCCCCTTCGGCATTGTTTGAGCTCCTCGATTTATCAAGCAGCCATTCGCAGTCTGGGTATCTGTAATACAGTAAGATCCATGGAAAATCTTTCACAAAAAGTCATTGACGTGTATGTAGCAGCTGCTGTTTTAATAAACTCTGGCAGTGGGCCACTGTTTGACCAAAAGCCTACGCACTCAAGAGCATCTTAAGGTCGTTAACAGCAGCATCTCAGCCTGTTTAAGCAATTTCCAACGGGCGATTGTCTATGGTTAGTCAACCAACAATGTATACTCTACTGACGTAATTGTACGGTATCAAAGTCTCCCTTTAGCAGCCAAATCACAGCGAATGGATCATAACCTCTAGCACCAGCCTCTCTAGTGCTATCGGTGTTTATACACATAGATTCACAGCACTAGACTTAGCATCGTCTCAGTATCCGATACCACAACACTAAAAGACGCTTACATGCTGCACTAGTGACCTTGCAGGGAAGCTCTCCTAACCGGTTGACGATCACCTTTGACCACACTGCTCGAAAACATGGCGTGAACAGAAACTGCCAACGGCACGGTTTAGGGTTTCATCGAGTTTTACAATCAGAATTAATCGACTGGATTTGTGACACGACTTTTTACATTTTTACATCAATAGAGAAGTGTCATCCAATGATGCAGTGATGGCCACGCACCTCTCGACCGACGTCCTCAGTTGGATGAAAGGGGTTGTCCTTCAAATTTGAGAACGCTTGTAAGGTACTTTCGGATGCTTATTAACGCTTCCTGTCCCTCGTGAACAAATTAAGGCTTTTCGGGGGCATGTATTACTTGATTGATCATTCCTCGCCATAACCCTTAATAAGATAATTGCTCACCATGCTTGTTGTTCCCATTCGAGTTGATGTTTCCTGCTCGACTCCTACAAGACCCATTTGTCCAAACTTGCGATGTGCGAAAACGTTCTTTGCGACGTTCAGCACTGAAAATGGCATTTTCCGCATTACGCTTGAGCCTTCTTAGGTCAATTTTTCAGTTGTGAGCTATACGTCCTTCTTCAATTACGCAATCCCTTCTCGATCTGTGATTTATTATATTAAGTCCTACTTGAGTTGCTCTATTTCGCATGCATTTATTATTTTGCCTTTCTGCTGTAATATGTTAATTATGCATTACGGATTCACTTTTATATGAGTTCAGAGCTTCCTTTTTTTGGTTTTAGGAGGAAAACCTACCTCCTCACACTATTCTGACATCGACTTATGTAACAGACGAAGGCCAATTCGACCATGGTACCGAAGACGAATGAGATACAGCCCAACATCCACACGTCCATTGCTAAACATGTGCCCAACTCAGAAGGGATTTTCACGAAAGTCCCATACAAACTTGCCTTTGACATACGAAACGCGAGGCAGGTTCTTTAGGATGTTCCCGAACTGAAATCGACACGCTTAGAAGTTTTCTTTGAAAGGAAGACAGGAAAGGAAAAACACTTCAACAAATTAACCATTTCATCTGCACATTTTCCGAATAATTAAATAATTTTAGAGCATCAAGAATTGAAAATCGATTAGAATCGGCGTTTGAAATTAAAACTCAGTTAATGGAGTGACTTTCATCACCTGAAATGTCAAAGCCAACAATGAAGAAATGCCGACAGTGGTTCGTGCTGGCAACGCTTTTGGTTCCATACAGAAGGATACCCAGGAAACAATTATCGTCAGATATGTTGGCACATAAGCTTGAATGATGTAGAATCCATAACGGCGTTTGAACGTGAAGACAACCTGAAACATCAACGATCCAAGGAGAGTGTTCAAGATTAGCATCCGTTTTCCTCGTGCCGGGATCAAAGAAGTGACCCAAAGTGGTAGAAAGCTAGCTTTGTTTAATCCTTTGGGTACATAAAAAGCTTTCCAGCAAAGTTATCCGAGGAAGTATAAAGGATTTCAAGTACAGGTCGTCTTGCACCTCTGACCAATGTCCAGGTGAGTCATTCGGCCCTTTTCTCAAATACGGTATATGTATATTGACCGAGTCCATATTCAAACATATTTCTGCTTGCTGCTTAGTCCAGAACGAATTTAGTCCACAGATCATATTTATGCTTAGCGGCGCTGCCTAGCAGTGCATCATTTCCGAGCCAAGACAAGCTAGAAGATACAAGAATTCCAAGTCTTCAATGGCTTTCAAAATGAATTTCTGGGTGCAAGTGATTTAGGAAAATTCTAAGATTCCGATAAATTAAATGCGGTGTTCCGATAAGTTAGCAAGAGTATTTCGATGCGACTTTTCAATCCCTCTATACATTGAGGGCATTATTTGAGGAAGGGAAGAACTCAAGTTCTAGGATGGCATACATATGTAAATCCATACAATAGTTTCATGATTCCCGTGGTTTTCCCCAGGTATTTTCAAGAATATTGCAAATGCAGTTGTAATAGGTTTGTTCTAGATGTGAAAATCCTTCCAAGTAGCTTTTCAAGAAGTAAAGCAGTTGAGGAGCTCCGAATGCTAGAGTAGAGATTGCCTTTGAACTCAGGCCTTTCCCTCATATCGACATGAGCAATCAGTTGCAACCCAGCGTCACTCAAACTGCTTATCCTTTGAGGACAGTCAGTTTTCACCCAAAAATTCGTAGGTGGAGAAAGCTGAACTACACATTGAATGGACCCTTCAGATGCAAGCAAGCTTCAGGTTCTCCACTCTCACTGTTGGTGGATGTCGACTGAATGGAGCGTTGCAACGATGAAATCAAATCCAATTGACCGCTCTACTCTTTTTATACCGATAGTCTTCTGAAAATCCCTTCTAATTGGAAGCTTTTCATAAAGCCTTCCCAAATGACATTTTCAGAACACACTGCGTGTCCATGGCAAACACCAAACGCGTCGGCTTTTTGCCATGCGTCAAAATGGAAGGCATTTAAGCAGCTATTTTAATGATGGATGAACAACATGGATGAGGTTCATCGAATGCATAACGAAAAGAAGCGCTCATTTCGATATCATGCGAAGATAGGCATGTTCAAAATATAAAAATGGGCGAAGGAAATGCGGCATATTATCTTTTGGTACTACAGGTGCTTTTCAAGTCCTCAGTGAGAGAGCATTAGTTGAAAATTAGAAATGGGATCAGAAGAATCGAAACGTGAACAGAAAATACTATACTATCTAAGATACGAGGGGTAACGGATCTTCTCCCCTATCGCGGCATTCTCCCTTGCGGCATGCGGCAAATGTCACTGCAATTACCGTACTCACCCCGCCTCCCGCCANTCGCAATCCTGCGGTACGCGGCGGGTGCGGCGTGTGCGACGCCGTGACAAGGGAGAAGTTCCCGGACCCAAGATACGAGTACTATCGCACCCTTTGAAAACCTTTGAATATAAAAAGGTCTTGCTGGATAAAAGTAAGTTGGTATAAAAATGGGATGATTACAGGCATCGAATTGTGGTTGAGGGTGTTATCAGGGATTACATTCATTCCGAGTAGAAAACTCTTCTAAACCATTTCCGGTAGGAATAGAATAGATAACGATTGTAGGAAATATTATAAACAAGCCAAGTACAACCCGGAGACTATAAGGGCTCCCAGAGAGTTACCACAAAAAGTTTTGTAAGTCTACGACGCCAGATCAAATTAGGAATGGAACCCCGGGAAGCTACGGAGCTCTAGTTTCTCTACGGTCCACCGTTTAGTCCTAGTATCGCTCGACAGGATAAAATCACTAAACCGTACTTTGCTTTACCCTCTAAGTTAGCAGCATTTAAAGTTATTCATGAGCGAAAATTTAGTGATTTTTCATCGAAAAAAATGAAAAAATCTCATAAAATGAAACAGCTGCAAGAGTGAGGCGACAAAAAGCCCGGGGGAACGCAATAATCGAGGTGCGTTAGTAGGAAATACTGACGTACTTTAGCTTTGTGACTAAGAGCGTTACTCATATCTTGGCCTTTATTTTGCACTTTATCAGTTTCACTTCTTGAAAAGAGAAAATGAAAAAGGAGATTCCATTTCTAGTAAAGCAGTATATGAGAATTTCCCAAACAAACCTGTAATTGGTCCCAATATCCATTTGGATAGAGAAGGTTTTCTTTCTTAGTCTCATAGTGAACCATGTCGAAGTCTGGTAACTGGATTGGTTTCATTAGCGTCACAGCCTCCTCCATCCAACGCAGTTGTACCTGAAATAACACAGGTTGGTGCCCCGAGGATGGCTTTGGTTACCCTTTATAATTGGTACTCAATTATCGCAGGTCCTAACACGAATGTTCTGTGAGACCAGTAATCACTTTTTCTATTTAGTATTACTACTTTGTATTCAGCACAACCTTCTTTACTTATTTGGGCTATGAATTTATTGCATTCATATATGGAAAGCTGAAAATTTTCAATGCGACTGAAATAAATGGTAGTGCAATCGGGTCTTTCTGTGGATGGAATGTAGCACAGTACCGGAAAACACCCCACAGGGAACTACCCATCTCCACTCCTAACAGACTTTTTTAAAAACAAGAAAGCTCGGCTCAACTAGGAATAACAACTAATTTTAATAAACTTTGAGCTGTAAGCCATATACGCACTTCACTACCTTCATGATACTTACTGATTCCTGAGTGAGTGGCACATCCCAAAAGAAAAGTGAATGCAAGTCACGCCAGCCGTTTCAAACTGCGGCTTATCGCCGATGTTTCCATATATGATTGCCTTTCAAAATGCTATGAATGCCTTTCAAGAGGTTTTGAAAAATTGATCTATTTTAGTAACCTCCCATCCATTTGTCAAAATCTATAGCAACGCTGTAAATTGCTACTTTCATTTTTGGTCCACATGTCACTTATTATGGCATGTAGGAAATTCCATAAATCATCTAAATTGGTTAACGAAATCCACTAAAGGAAATTCATAAGAAAATGGAATAGCATGATGCTATTTGAACCGGTCAGAACAATATGTTTGAGGCAAAAGCAGAAAGGAGGCTGAGCGAAAAACTGAATAAGGTGAGAAAGAAACAGAAAGAGATTTTGGTAAAAAGTGCGGTACTGGTTTGGAATTCACTTGTTCGAAAAGCAATTATTTCTGTTCGAACTTTCGTCTTTCAAGCACCAATCGGGGGCTCTGAGAAAGTAAAAATGCAGATTTGGAAAAAGTACCATCCGCGATTATCAGAAATTATCATCTCGTTCATCAGTTACAGCCGTAATGTTTCAGAAAAAAAGAAACGTCTGAAATTGGCATGAAATAGTTGTAAATAAACAAGAGGTACTTCTGGAGACTGCTATCTTCCCAGGTACCGGCAATACATTTTGAAGTAGAAGTCTCTTCTTCCTAGTCATCTCAATGATCAACCACAGACTTTGGTCAATGACAGCACAGTTCCCACTTGGTACTTCTACTACGTATCGGTCACATACCACCAACAAGCTAATCTCGCCTTTTATTGAGGTCACAAGATCGTCAGAGTGGGTGAATTGGAAGCGTAGGAGTCCTTTATTCGTACACTTAGGTTACCATGAAGTTCTAGCAAAGTAAAATACTACAACGTCTGCTTACGACTCACCTCTTCGGCATTATGACTGTATGACTCCAAAATGAGTATACAACTTTGTACATCAAATGGAAATTGCCTCAGATCGAGGTTACATGGAGATTTCACGGACAGGCGATGATTTATCCATACCGTACCATTCTGAAAAAA